TCATCTATTTATGTCTTCTTTTAAAATTTTAATTTCTAAAAGTATAACTAAACAATATTGAGAAGATGGTTAATAGTTGATTTTTTGATTTTTTTTTTACTTTTTTCGAAAAAACGTGTAAAAAATGTAAAAGATGATGTGACTCAACATATGTTAAAAATTGACTTTTAGCTTTTAATTGTCTTCGCAAAAAAGGCCATCATATGACCAAAAATGTCATATTGGGACAATTTTTTTAAAAAATATCATCTAATAATTTAAAATTTCAAAATTAAATTAGAGAATATCCTAATATATTCAAAAGTAATAATAATAATCATTTGTACTTTGAAAGATCATAGTATATGGATCATTTTTATTTTCACCCGATAGAAGTCTAACAAAATAACACAAGTGACATGTTTTTACTTTTTTACTTTGGAAGACCATTTTTTTTTATTTTTTATTATGGATCTTTGTGGAATAGGAGATTATATACAATATTAAAGTTTCTAAAAATTAAATATTGAAGTTCGTAAAAACGTTAGAACCATATAAATTGTGCCGATGCATATTTAGCTTGGATTTTACAAAATATTTCAATTAAAAAGCAAGTATAAAAATTAAAAAAAAAAATCATATAGCTTTCATCAAATATGAAATATGTAATCAAATATTGAATAACGTTATCAGTAATGGCACCAAAATCAGGCATGTCCAAGATGAAATTGAGATGGTTTTACTTAGGGAAGAAATGTTCCAACACCAGAGATCGCGTATCAACTGGCTCAGTTATGGGGATCGTAATTCTGCCTTCTTTCATGCCTCTGTTGTTCAGCGCAGGCAGCGAAACCAGTTGGTCAAACTCAAAATAGATAATGGTGCCTGATTAGAGACTGACAATGCTATTAATGATCATCTTTCTTCCTACTTAACTCAACTTTTTCAGGCAAAAGGCCCTAGATATTTTGAGGACGCTCTGGTAGTGGTGAAGCTATCGGTTACCCAACCAATGAATGAGGCCCTTCTTAGACCAGTGGCAGATGATGAAGTTAAGCTTGCTTCTTTTCAATTGGGTCCTTTAAAAGCCCCAAGGCTTGATGGCTTTCCTGGCCTATTTTATCAAAAGCATTGGCAAGTGGTCGGGGCTGCAGTTTGCAAAGCGATTCGCAGTTTTTTTCATATTGGCCTTCAGATTCTAAACACATTACCTATGCCATCCCTTTATTAGGCTTTGCCACTATTGACAATGATGAACTGTGAAAACCTGCATTTAATTATAAAAATAAATAAATAAATGAATATATATATAATAAAATAAATAAAATAATAAATAAATAAATATATTAATTAACATTATCTGGAATTTGTCTGAAATATATTAGTGTATAAGTTAGTTTTAAAATTAATTAAACCACTAACAAAGACATGATAAAAAAAATAATTTTGTGGATGTTCAATATTTATTATTTATAAATTATTTTAATTGGGATTTAACTTCACAATTGTTCTTATTAAATACCTTAGTAAAAAAAAAAAAAAAGAGAAAAATCTTTGAATCAGATTCTCGGTGGCAGAGTGATGCCACCCGCTAGCTTGCATGTAACTAGGCCCGGCCCTGGCCATAGGCCCACAAAGCCATGGCTTAGGGCCCCTCAAAATAGGCCCAAAATGGGGGCCCCTCCTATTATAAGTTAGTATAATATGTTAGGTGTGTTTTGAGTCCAAAAAATAAAAATAAAAAAAAGGCCCAAACCAACTTAATTTTTTTGACCCATTAAAAGGCCAACAGTTTAAGGCCCAGCCCAACAGGCTAAAAGGCCCTTTTTTTTTTTTCTAATTCCTAACCTTATCATCTCTTAGTCCAACCTTCCCTTTGACAGTACACACCACACCAGCAAGGAGAAGAATCTGTGCAGCCCAGACGAAATAGCGACCAGCAACAAAGGTAAATTTTTTTTTTTCTATTCAATTAATTAAATATTTATCTTGTCTTTCGCACAATTAATTACTATTATAATATTGGTGTTTACGTCATCAAGAAAATTTTATTTAAGTTTAATAGTTCACATCACATAATTTAAAAATTTTGTATTTTGTTAAGTGGTGGTGCTCTTGTTTTAAATTTTGATTTAAAAAAATATTTTGATCTCAGCACAGCAAGCATAGGTAAATATTTTTTTTCCCTATTCAATTAATTAAATATTTATCTTGTCTTTTGGACAATGTAATGCTAAGTATTTTTTTGTGATTTTAATGCAAATCTTTTGTCCTTTACCTTAATTTTTTTTTCATTCAATAAAAAAAATGTGAAGGCCTCCAGAAATTTAGTAGTTGATTATTGGCTTTGGGCCCCAAAAATCTCAGGACCGGGCCTACATGTAACCATAGGAACCTTCACCTCATCATAGTTCTTGGGTGGAGGAGATTCGAAGTGGCAGAGTATGATGAGAAAGAGAGAGAGAGAGGGAGTGAGAGGGGGAGGGGGAGGCTCAGCATGCTTTTATATATACTCAAGGAAGGCTGAGCATAATCTGATAGATATACAAGAAAGGAAGGCTTAGCTTAGTATACACATGCATGTCTGCTCCTTTGGACGGGTGAGGAGAAAATAAGGAAGAAGAATTCAGCAGAAGGAGAAGAAGAGAGGAAGGTTTAGGAAGTAAAATTTTTCTATCATTTCATCACCCATTTCAATCCTACTATTAGGTAAGAAAACCCTCTTAACCCTCTCATTTCTTTTTATTAATGAAGTTTTCAAATTATGTTCATGTGATTAAAATGACTACTCATAGACAGAAATTTTATACATATGTGTAGGAATGTTGTGATGTGTATATCAAATGTTTGAAGATATTGATAATCTTAAAATCATCTTATTATTGTAAAAATAAGCTTGCATGTGTAGTTTACACCTTTAAAGAGAAGATTGAAAATAATCTGTTTGTCCTTGAATCTGCCAGAATGTTTGCACTAATTTTTAGACAATTTTATACTCAAAATTTTGAGATGATTTTTTCTACAAAGTTGTTTAGAATGATGTCTAGTTCATCTAGGAATTTTGGTAACAATTTTTGTACTTTCTACGAATTTATACAAATTTTAAACTAAATCTGAAACTGTGCGACAAATTTTACTATGTATTTGAAAATTTATTTAAAATTCTATACTAAGCCAAATCTGATAATTTCTAACTAAAAGATGAAATTTGAGAAGTCTAGTTTCATAACAAATTTTTAGATTATGGATTTGATCTATAAATTTAAGCATGGAATTAATATAAGGAAATGTGACAAATCTGTGTCATAAAAATTGCTGGAAATTTTACAGGATTATTTACATATTCTTTTTTTGAAATTCTTTCTGAAAAATGACCTAAACATCCCTATTGAGTATTCTGTTCAATTGCACGAATTTTAGGATTGTGTAAATAATTTATTTATAATTTTTAATACCTAAGTTACAATCTAGAATTTTCTGGACGGGATAAAATCATCACTTCAATATTGTGCTGGTCTAATCCATCCACTATTATAAATTAGCAATCCATGTATGGGTGTGTTGTGATTTATTTAATATTGTGCTAGTCTAATTTTGTAAATCAAAAATTTGTGCATGTGTGTGATTATGGTTTATTTGTTGTATCTAAGTTATTATGTTCATACCATGGTTTAAATTAATTGTCTATTAAATTTTGTACATTGAATTATTATTGCGTGACATGTATAATGTTTTATGTTGGGAGTTTTTTTTTGAGTTGGTATTACATTATTGGTGATTGAGATTTGAATAATTTGTGTTAACCGAAATGATTAATGGTATATAAAGTTACTGATAGAGGGTTAATATCGGGTATTCAGGGTGAGCCCTGGTTTTTAATAATTTTTAAGTAAATTGTGTCGCGAAACCCTAAGATGGCATGGGGCTTATTTGAACCCTTATCGGTATTTGGTTTTGGAATAAGGGTGGATGTGCGGGTGGCACGCAAGGAAGTTACGTACCCCTGGCAGACTGTTCCCTTGGGGCAGACCACGGATGTCATGGCTTGGGTATATAACTCCGGGCGTGGGCATCTTTGGTAGTTCTTGAATATTTGACCAATGGGGGCTTTCTAAATTAACCGTGGCCATGACTTAGTGGTTGGTAAGTTAAACCTCTTTGGTGAGATTTCAAGGATCACCTAATTTATTAAAATTATTTGAATTATTTTGATGGTTGTAATTTATGTTTACAATTATATTATTATCTCGTGTTTATAATCTCATTATTTTCTCTCAAAAAGAATGGCAGGTTGGTTATGTTTTCTTACTGTGTTGCAAAACTTATGGCATATATTTTGTTACCCTGGCATTTCATGCCAGATTACGTCGAAGAAGGGACTGAGGCTGAATTTGGAGCTGTTGCTAATATCGAACCTTGGCTAACTTAGAGTCAAGATTTTATCCAAATAAAATTCTATTATCTCTTGTATTAGTATTTAACAATGTTGTGACGTTATATGTGAACTTGTAATTTTATTTTGTTGTTAGACTTTGACTATGTAAGAGTTTAAAATTCCCTAATTAGTAGCTAAAATTTTATCTAGCAAGTTATTGTTATTTAAATTTTATGATGTTCTAAAAAAAAAATTGGGGCGTCACCGGCTGCATAAAGGTGTAAACAACACTAATATCATTCTTATACCTAAAGTGCAGGCCCTGGAGAAATTGAGTCAGTTTCGGCCTATCAGCTTATGTAATTTTTTCATGAAAATCATAACAAAGGTGCTAGCTAACAGATTGAAATGTCTCAAGAATCTTATCTTCCCGCAGCAAGCGGCCTTTGTTCCTGGCCGTCACATCCAAGATAGTATTCTCATTGCGCACGAGGCCTTTCACTTTTTAAAGCATAAGAAACAAGGGCGTGTGGGTCTTATGGCTTTGAAATTAGACTTCAACAAAGCTTATGATCGAATTCAATAGAATTTCTTACAAGCTACTCTTCATCGTCTGGGCTTTCATCCGAAATGGGTGAACTTGGTAATGAAATGTGTGACTACTGTGAAGTTTTCAGTGTTTGCTAATAGTGAGCGGCGAACCACATTTACTTCTTCGTGTGGGATTCGTCAAGGTGACCCACTATCACCATATTTGTTCTTTTTGGTTGCTGATGTGCTCTCCAATTTAATCCATCAAAGCCTTATTTCCAAAGCGATTTTTGGACTTCGGATGCGCAGGACTTGCCCCCAGCTATCACACCTTCTTTTTGCAGATGATGCCATTATGTTTTTCAAGGTTGAGCACTCCGAGGGTTTGAAGATTTTGAACGTGCTAAGGGTCTACAGTGAAGCGCCTGGCCAAATTCTAAATTTTGATAAGTCAGGAGCTTTTTTCTCTGCCAACACCTCAGTTAGTGATCGCCATGCTATGTGCCTTTTATTGGGTGTTTCTCAAGCCAATCCTAGGGCCAAATACCTGGGCCTCCCAGCCTCATGGGGCAAATCTAAGACCGAAGCATATAGTTTTCTTCTTGAAAAAGCTTTGCTGAAGTTACAAGGGTGGAAGTCCAATTTGTTATCCTTAGCGGGTAAGGAGATTCTCATCAAGGCAGTTGTTCAAGCTATCCCATCTTATGCAATGGCATGTTTTGAGCTCCCTCAAGCTATTTGCTCCAAACTCAACAGTTTTCTTCGTAATTTTTGGTGGAAGGGAGACCCAGAAAACAGGGGTATTTGTTGGGCCAAATGGACGCACATGACTAATCCTAAAGCTGAGGGGGGTATGGGGCTGCGAGACTTCAAAGATTTTAATCTCGACCTCCTAGCTAAACAAGGCTGGCGCTTATTGTCCAATCCGAATTCCTACTAGGCTTGAATTTACAAGGGCCTTTATTTCCCTCATTCTACTTTCTTACAAGCTACTAAGGGCTCTAATGCGTCATGGGCATGGACTAGCCTTTTAAAGGGACATGAGTTGATTCAGGCTGGTATTCGGTGGCAAGTTCAATCTGGACAACAAATTCGTATCCAGGCCCGGCCCTGGCCATAGGCCCACAAAGCCATGGCTTAGGGCCCTCAAAATAGGCCCAAAATGGGGGGCCCTCCTATTATAAGTTAGTATAATATGCTAGGTGTGGTTTGAGTCCAAAAAAAAATAAAAAAAGGCCCAAACCAACTTAATTTTTTTGACTCATTAAAAGGCCAACAGTTTAAGGCCCAGCCCAACAGTCTAAAAGGCCCATTTTTTTTTCTAATTCCTAACCCTATCATCTCTTAATCCAACCTTCCCTTTGATAACACACACCACACCAGCAAGGAGAAGAATCTGTGCAGCCTAGACGAAGTAGCGACCAGCAGCACAGGTAAATTTTTTTTTTCTTTTTCTATTCAATTAATTAAATATTTATCTTGTCTTTTGCACAATTAATTACTATTATAGTATTGGTGTTTACATCATCAAGAAAAAATTATTTAAGTTTAATAGTTCACATCACATAATTTAAAAATTTTGTGTTTTGTTAAGTGGTGGTGCTTTTGTTTTAAATTTTGATTTAAAAAAATATTTTGATCTCAACACAGCAAGCATAGGTAATATTTTTTTTCCCTATTCAATTAATTAAATATTTATCTTGTCATTTGCACAATGTAATGCTAAGTATTTTTTGTGATTTTAATGCAAATCTTTTGTCCTTTACCTTAATTTTTTTTTTCATTCAATAAAAAAAATGTGAAGGCCTCCAGAAATTTAGTAGTTGATTATTGGCTTTGGGCTCCGAAAATCTCAGGACCGAGCCTATTCGTATCTGGGAGGACCCGTGGATTCCTTCTATCTCAGGTTTCAAAATCCTTTCACCGAAGCCTCCCCACTGCGAAGTTTCGATGGTGTCTGACTTAATCGACCCAACTCATAAGTCTTGGCATTTGACCACACTGTTGAACTGCCTTACCATCGAGGAAGTTGAGGCCATCTCAGTCATACCCATTGCGGTAGAAGGACGGGATGATTCTGTCATATGGCATCCCAACAAGTTAGGCCTCTATTCAGTTAAATTGGGTTATGCTCTGGCCAGATCTCTTAGGGAACGATCATTAGAAAGCCCTCCTTCATCCTCTCTATCCCTTATTGATAATATGTGGAAGATTATTTGGGGCTTAGAAACTCCGCCCAAAATTCGACACTTTTGGTGAAAGGTTTGCCATAACCTTCTAGCAACCAAAGCTGGTCTTTTCAGGCACAGGTGTGGATCTTCTGCGGTTTGCCCAATCTGTCTCTCTGCTACTGAAACTGTCGAACATCTGTTATTTGATTGCTCATGGTCTAAGGCAGTGTGGTTTGGAAGCTCGCTCAATCTTAGAATTGATCTTGGCTCGATTCCCAATGTGTCCCAGTGGACTAGTGATATCATTAGCCAAGCCACCTCTACCTCTAGTGCACAAAATCTTCTCAGTAAAATTGCAACTGTTGGTTGGTTCATTTGGAAAGTTAGGAATGAGTTTGTCTTCAACAATTTTCCAGTGGATCCATTGGCTACACTCCATCGAATTGCTCTTTTCTGGACTGAACAAGAAAACCTTCTTAGAGCTACATCCAATCGAGACCACAGGCCGACTTCACTGCCTTCTACTCCTGTTTCAGGCTGGTTTCCAACTCGCCATGGTCATTTCAAGATCAATTGCGATGCCTCCTTCTGCCAGCGGAACTCCATGGCTGCCATTGCAACAGTTCTTAGAGATTCCAATGGACATCTAATTGACTGTAACGCCAGGACTATTTCGGCCTCCTAAGCTGAGGCTTTTGCTGTCCGCATGGCTTGCCTAATGGTTCGGGCCCATAACTTGTCGTCTGTAGAGATTGAAAATGACATCCAATCGGTTATCAAACTCTGTGTTTCAAAGTAAGTCCCTCCATGGGAGTTGAGTGTTATCATTCTGGATATTCGCTTCTTCGCTTCTGCCTATCAACTTTCCTTTTCATGGACCTATAGGTCTAACAATCATGTGGCAAATTGGGTGGCCAAAACCCAAGCTTCTCAGAATCTTCCTCCGACATGGGCTGTGCTTCCACCAGTTTGTCTTTTATCTTTATTATCTGCTGATGTACCTTCTTTTGTTGGGTAATCAAATTGCCTTTCAGTTCAAAAAAAAAAAGAAAAGGTTATCAGTAATGTTACTTCTAAGTGCGGATATAATATGAGTGAAAAAGGTTATCACAAATTGCATAAAACGTACGTTCAAAAAAATCAAGTGAACAAAACTAATAAAAAAATATTATCATAAAGGAAAAGTGAAAAAAAATATATATTAAGGAATAAAAATTTAGTGGGATCTAACTCCTAAATAGTTTTTGGTTCAATAAAATACAATTAAAAAAAATGATCATTCTATTCTCAAGTTTAATTTACTATTACTACTCCCTAAATAAATCTACATATATTATATATAAAATTATCATTTACTATTATAAATGAATGTTATTTCGTAGAAAAACTAAGGAATGAATATTTATTAAAGTACACACAAATGACTATTATTTCGTACAAAAGCTAAAGAATAAATATTTATTAAAGCACACATAGCATTAGAGGTTTTTTTCAAGAACTTACTTTACCTCGTTCGGAAATAGTAAATGTCTTCTTTGGATAATTTTATCACATAGGTGGCACACTATATCCATGATTTATCAAAAGCAAGAAGAGTTAACACTGCAAAAATGAAAGAAAAAAAAATCACATTAGCTTTCCATTCAAAACAGAATACATAAAATCAAATAGAAAGTAATTTAAAATTTTTAACAAGGCAAAGGCTCACTCGAATTTTTTGCCTCCATTATTCTTCTATGAAACGGTGGTCCGAATAATGGTAGCATCTGGTACAAACATATGCTGACTTTTGGTTGGCTGAGCCAACTATAGTGCCTCTTGTCAACCACTTGGAAGGACTATGGGAAGACACATTAGACACTTTCAAATAGATCAAGCGAGAAACAACCATGTAACTATTACAATAAAATATCAATAAGAGATCTATTTGTGAAGTTTAATTATGATGTAATTGTGAGTGATTTTTCGACCACACTGCCCAACTCAGTAATCAGCTGGAGAGAACTGGCAGAATAGATGACACCTGGCTAACCTGCAACAGAAAGAGAAGATTCCGGCGGTGGTTCGTCCACCCGGGGGCACTCCGACGATCAAGTCAGTATATCTCTCAAAGATAATTAAACTCACTATTCAGAATATAAATTGCATACCTTAAACCCATGGGGGTGCCTCTCTTTTATAGTTAACTCAATCATTGTCCCAACAGAAGCCTAGCTTCAATGGACTCTTGCTCAGTGCTTATCCTAGACTCTCCAAGAGATAAAGATAAACTCCCTAAGAGTGTTATCCTTATCCATGCTAAAGTCCTTCGTCATTCTAGGACTCTTGTCCCTTATCCACTTATCTCGGATTCTGATATTTTCGGAGATAACCTCGGCCTTGCCGAGATAACCTCGGCGTCATGACCTGGACACGTGGCATCTCGGTTGACACGTCGGCATCACCTTGGCCACGTGTTGGTACTCAGAAAATATATCCCCACAACTGCTCCTTAGGTTCTATTACCTCGGCATTCTGAGGTGATGGAACCTATATCGGTACTTCCTGCCAGTACATCGGCTTAAGCCGAGATCATCATCATAGGCCGATATGTCTTTTTAAAGATTAAGAATCCCATAGGCTTCTTCACGCGTATGAGCTGTTATACATAACAACTCAACCGTTTAAGCCACGTGCCTTCCCCTCACTGGATCGTACTTGTTACGCGCTTATAAGTCGTCTCACGCCTGCGTGCACCGTCTGACAAATCCGTTTTTCTAGGCTCATCAATTCTATGTTGCCGCCGTTTTAGGTTTTAACAAAAACTTTTTCCCCTTTCGTCTTTTCACTTTACATCGTCTCTATTCAAACTCTTTCTCTCTCTTGCCTTCTCTAATCTTCCATTGTTCCAAGCTCTGAAGCTCTGTTGTCACCGCTGTTTCACCTCTTCCGGCGAGGCTCTTTCTCCGTTACCGTCGTTTGTCTGACTTCGGCGATCTCAACATCGACTTTTTCCCTCTAGTAAGTCATCGTTCCTTCTGGTTTTTAGTTCTTGTTACGCTCCAAGAAATTTTACTTTATCATTAGTCGTCATTGTTGTTTTACTCAAACATTTGATTTATGAATCATGCATCTGAATGTGTTTATTTCACGATTTTGCCCTTTGCCCATGTCTTGAATACTCGCACTGCTCACAATTTTTCTGTAATTTTGCAACTGTTCTTGACCTTGTACCTTTTCACACACTCTGTCACAATGTTCTTGGTAGTTCACCCTTGTTCTTAATTCTGAAACATGTTCTTGTTTTCTGTTTTCTGTGTCTTTTCTAGATTTCTGCCTTCAATCTTGCTCCATTTATTTAGGTTTGGGATTTGTTTGTAGAACTCTTGATTTTTAGGAAAAACTGGAACTATTTCCTCAAATTCTTACCCAACACATAATTTTGATTTTTGCCGAGGTCCCAATAACCCTTTTAAAACACCTTTCTGAAATCCAACCCCTTGAGTTAAGCCGATATCATGGGTATGTGGAAGCATAGGGTAGACACCCCGACAAAATTAGAATACTTCAGGCGAGAGTTTTCCATTCCTGCCGACATCCATCTGAGATTGGCTGGGGATGACGACTCTATCATGCCCGATGTAAACCTCATGCCTTTCCCAGTAGTAGCGTTTATTGAGTGTGGACTTAGGTTTCCACTCGACCATTTCTTCCGTGAAATCCTCCACTTTTATAGGTTAAACCCAATGCAACTTGCAATCAATTCGTACCGAGTTATTAATGGTACCATAGCCTTAGCCAAACAAGAGAATGCTAGGATTACTCTTGCCGACTTCCAGTTCTGTTATACCATGTGTCGCCTGAAATCAGAAAAAGGCCACATTTATTACCTTAAGCCTAGGTCTACGAAATACAAAATTGTTGCTGACCTCCCTGACTCCAACAAGGGAGCGGGGGATGATTACTTCATCGTTTCGGGTAATTTGGAGTTTCAGCCAAACGATGACCTCCATCTTCATCCCCTAAGTCGAACAGTTTTCGGGGAAGGAGCTGGTAAGGGCCACCTTTCACAAATTTTCTTGCTTTCTTACATAAAGTTTTCAACATTCAGCTCTAATGTCTACGCTTTTTTCTTTTTTGCAGTTCTCCCTCAGCCACCAAATGGCTTCCATCAGTCTTTCTTTCCCAGCAAAGACTTGAAGAAACTACTGAATTTGCCAGTCCACAAGCGGAAGGCCCCTCTGCTTCTCAATTTCATCCCCACGTATAAGTCTGCTCTTCCCAACGTCCTAAAGAAGAAGAAGAAAAGCCTTTCCCCACCTTCTGCCACAACTCCACATGTCGCATCCACATCTCAGACAGACCAAGGATCAACCTCTGATCCAGCTGAGCAGCCGTCAACCTCGGCTCCATACTTGATCCCGATATTCCAACGACAACACCGGCAACGAACCATTTTTCTTGCTGAGATGGGCCGTCAAAAAGCTGTTACAAAAGATCTCCTGGCCAGCATCCCATCAACCGTTGACGCTCAGCCAACGCAAACCCAGCCTCCACCAAAACAAAAAAGAATTAAAAAGGCCCAACCAAAGGCCAAGGTGACTCAGGTTGACACTGAGGACACTTTGCCGATCTCAAAATTGGCTGAGAGTGACAAGTCCCAGCCTACCGCGGAGAAGAGGCGTGCCGAGGCCCAACCATCTGATTCTCCGAAATCAAAGAGGCTGAGATCATCCTTTGCAACCACCTCGGGGTCCAAAAAACATGATGCCCCATGGGCCCCAAAAATTACTCTGGAAGATAAGCCAGTTATGGCCAATGATAGCGCTAATGACATCAACGTCGGCGTAGCCCTCAGTACTGCTCTGCTTCTCCCCGGCGATCTCGACTGAAACACCGAGTTGAACGAGTATGAAAACTACGCTCTGATGCTTCAACGCTCCGTTCAAGTAAGTGTCTTTATCTGGCAACTTTTTCTTTCTTTCTGTTCATTCCATACTCTTAATTTTTTTCTAACAACTTCTGTTCTGTTTACTTTCAGGCCATCCAGCATGCCCATTCTTTTTCAGTACAATCTTTTGAGAACCGGGAGAGGCTAGTCGAGATGAAGAGGGAAGTCTCCAGTCTTCAAAAGGCCAATAAAAGTTTTCAATCAAAAATGAAAAAACTGGAAGACTAGGCCGGGGCTGCCATCAAGGCCCAAAATGATGCCGAAGAAAAGGCAGAGTCTGTTGAGGCCATTAAGAAGGTTCTTGAGGCCCAGAAGAGAGAGGCCGAAGAAAAGATCGCCCAGGCCCAGATAGAACTGCAAGACGCTTTGGCCACCAAAGAGTCCGAAGTCAAGGCAGCCGATGAAAAGGGCTACAACGAAGGGGTGACTGACGTCACGGCGGATTATGAAAAGCAAGTGAAGCTGGCATGCAACAAGGGTTTCACCCTTGGCTGGATGACCTTGCTGAAAAGGCTTGAGAGGACTCTCCCCTCAAGAATGCCGATGTCCTTCATCTGCCATTCCCCCCAACTCCAAGCCAAACCGCCGACGACGACTTTGAGTCCGAGGAGGAGGTTTTGGTGAGGAAGCCCAAGGAAGCTGCTGGGGCCAAGTCACCTACTCAAAATGAGCAAGTCCTGGACTTGACCCAAGTTGAGGAGGATGAGGAAGTCTCTAAGGATGCCACTCCAGAGAAGGTGTCATCGGACGTGTCT